AGGTGGACAAAGCGGCAGACCCTGGGTTTCTGGTTCCAGATAATCAAAGGCATGGGACTCTGGACCCGGTTCCCAGCACTGTGGCTTTTCTCCAATGGTCTCATGCTCATGTTTTTTCTCAACCTTTCACCTATGTATTTCAAAGGGACGCTGAGCCCGATTCTCAGCACGTGAAGCTCCCCACGAATAAACTGGAGCCTGAGTTTTTGTAAAAAAAAAAGGAAAAAAAAAAGGCTCCGTGGACCCCCCTAGGATGTGGTACAACCCATTCGAAAGGCCCTAAGTCCCCTTCCAGGAGGTCTTCTAAATCCCCACTTGGGCACAAGTCAACCCCTTCGAAAGGACCTCAAGTTTCCCCCCTGGAGACCTCTCATTCATATCATGCGGAAGATGACCCTAAGGATGCCCCACACTGGGTGCATCACCAGTCCCCTAATCCCTACGCCGCCCATAAAGCAACCCTGGTGTGTGAATGGTCATGCATCGGTCACTGCCCTCCCCGTTTATGTGCGCAAAGTTGAGGGCACAAAGATTTGAAGCCGCACCCTTATACATAATCTACAACAAGCCGCATTTTCCACCGATGCTCTACCGACTGAGCTCATGCCACTCTTGCTATCTTTCCTTGTAGTTCCAATCCCAGTTAAATCTTCGTTTGAAATGCTTTCAGGTCTCATTTGGATCTGGCGTTTGACTTGATGGCACTTGCACCCGATCTCTGTTTTGATGAAGTATTTGGTTGAGCTCCATACCACGTCCCTTGGATTCCTTGTCTTGTCCAGCGTAATGTTGCATTGTTCCTTCCAGATCGCCCATAATGTTTCCTAACTGATAGGTCCAGACCACATTCTTTCGGATTCGGTAAGTTGAGATGGGAGATTAGTCCATACGAGTAGTTGTGAGGGAAGTTCTGGCTGGGAAGGGTGATAGGAATAGACTCTGGACCATAGGGTCTTTGCCCTGGTCCAGTACTCTGTTGCTCCTTTGGACTAAATAACAGCCAGTCATGCTTTCACATCCTTAATGTGAGCACACTGTGCATCTATGAGAGCCGTTCGGGTCATTGTTCCGTCTTCTGACATTGAGCCAGTGATTCACGGGGATGCCAGCGTAGGTAACTAACCATCAGAGACTACTGATCTTGACTGGCTTTACGGATCTATACCTTTTCCACGTTTTTTTTTAAACACAAGACACACTCAGCCCCTTCCATTCTGGGGGGCGCCGGTCCGGTTGCTTATCGCCGGCAAGCAGAAACAGAAGGATATTAATAACGCCTGAAATCGGGCTACGAGCGAGGGATGGGAGTAACAGACAACAGGGAGAAGCGCCCGCAACTGCCCCCGCACGCGCCATTCGATATTCCCATCTCTCACATGTACCCCCCCCCCCCCCCCCCCCCCCCCCCCAAAAAAAAAAAAAAAACACCACCCTGCCGACCTCCCCACCTAATGTGCCTATCGTATTTCACCTTTACATCTTGCCTTTCCTTGTGTCAACCAGTTCCAATATGCGGAGTATGGCTATATCCTACAATTCCATCCTTAATCGTTACCTTTCGTCAGCAATCCCGCCTTTGAGTGTACGCATACTTACTCCTCTGTGATGTCCAGCCATCCCCTTCTCTCCTAATTTTGCAATCGGGCCCATTTATATCGTATTTGTGCCCTCCCCTGTGTGTCCCCTGATGATTTCTTCACATATCCTGATTCCATCAACCGTCATGTCATCATTCAGTCACAACAGAACCTTTTAGGAACCTCTATGCAACGAGCCTGAAGACTAAACCGGTCCCCCACCTCCTCCCCCTATACCCCCCCCCGATAGCCCACCCCTAACCCCGTTCCACAAGCAACACCCATGGTACATACCGTAGGTACAGCCCCCTGCTTGTTTCTTCATTACTTTCCCCCGCCCCCCCCCCCCCCCCCCCCCCCCCCACGCCACAGGCGAAGCATGTCCACGGGTTTTTTGTAATAGTACTGTTTGTGTGTTCGTGCTCACAATCCCATCCTTGTATTGTTATTTGCCAATGGGGATCTTTGGTTCGGAGCAGCACTTTGTATCCCTGCTTAACTGAGTTTTATGTCAGGGGAATCTGCTTTTCCCTTCCGTTATGTTTGTTTGCTAGCATCTCCACTCCTTGGGGTCAAATTTCTTTTTTTTTTTTTTTTGACACAACMCCCCCGCCAGCGTTAGTGGTGCTGATAAGACCTTGGGGTCAAATTCTAGTCTGGGGGAAGGTGAAAGTCTGGTTTCAACTAAGCTTCATAGCAACGGGCCGCGCGGAATGACGAAAAATGGGCTTTTAGCTAGGCTACCGGCCGGGCCGCCCGGATCACCTTGTTTGCCCGAGCGGCCCAGCCGTGCAAGGACCAAAGAAGGTCCCAGCAAAAAAAAAAAAAAAAAAAAAGACACAAAAAAAATGTTATGCAGAAAAATAAAGTGAACAACTTTTGCCTCAGGGTCACATCGAAATTCTCTTTACATAGCTTTCTTGGCCTTTTGGCTAAGAATAGACCAAGGGTAGTATCTGTTCTGATCAGTTTAGTATCTGATCCGTGGTCCATTGGAAACATAAAATAAAATACAATAAAATACAAAATAAAATTAAACAATTTGTCACAGCCCCTCGTTTGTTGTCCTCTTCTCCCTCTCTGCCTACGGTTTACTTCTTGTGCAAATAGTTATCAAAATCATTCTTTTAGCATAAGAAAGAAATCATTTAACCACCAGTACCTGGCCCAGCTATCGAGTCCGAGCCTCGGCCGACCGATACGCCTATCCGTGCCGAGGCTCGGACTACCGGGCGCAGGCATCCCGAACGTCAGAGTGAAACGAACGAAAAAAACGGGGGAAAAAAAAAACGGAAAAAAAAACGGAAAAAAAAACGGAAAAAAAAACCGAAAACAAAAACGAAAAAAAAAACCGAAAAAAAGTATGGCAGTGTATAGTCCCACGCTATAGCACCAATGGAGGGCGCAGTACCAAGAGGCCAGCCGCGACGCGCGCGCGCGCGCGCGCGCGCGAGAGAGAGAGAGAGAGAGAGAGAGAGAGAGAGAGAGAGAGAGAGAGAGAGAGAGAGAGAGAGAGAGAG